TAGGTACTAACGTCCTGTGGTAGTAGGTTTGTAGACGACATCCACCCAGGGAAGTATTACCGTGCTTGGTAGTAGGTTGGTAGACAGCAACCACACAGGGACGTAGCACCGTCCTGTGTTAGTATGTTGATTTACAACAACCAACCAGAGTGGTATTACCGTCCTGTGATCTTAGGTTGGTAGACAACCGCCCAGGGAGGTACTACTGTCCCGCCCTATTAGGTTGGTAGACAGCAACAAACCAGGGAGGTACTGCTGTCCTGTGGTAGGAGGATGGTAGGCAACAGCCACCCAGGGAGCTACTATTGTCCTGTGGTAGTAGGTTGGTAGAAAACAACCACCCATTGAGGTAGTACCGTCCTGTGGCAGTAGTTTAGTAGGCAACAACCACCTAGTTAGATACTACAACCTGTGGTAGTAGATTGGTAGACAATGACAACACCAGGGAGGTAGTACGTCCTGTGATAGTAGATTGGTAGACAGCAACCACTCAGGGTGGTGCTACCATCCTGTTGTAGAAGGTTGGTAGACAACAAACACCCAGGGAGGTACTACTGTTCCTTGGAAGTAGGTTCGTAGACAACAACCAACCAGGGAAGTACTACCGTGCTGTTGTAGTAGGTAGGTAGACAGCAACCACCCTGGGACGTAGTACCGTCCTGTGGAAGTATATTGGTGTACAGCAACCAACCAGAGAGGTACTACCGTCCTGTGATAGTAGGGTGGTAGCCAGCCGCCCAGGGAGGTACTGCAGTCCTGTTAGGAGGTTGGCAGGCAACAACCACCCAGGGAACTGCTACCGTCCTGTGGTAGTAGGTTGGTAAACAACAACCACCCAGGGATGTATTACCGTCCTGTGGCAGTGGGTTGGTTGGAAACAACCACACCAGGTAGGTAGTACGTCCTGCGGTAGTAGGTTGTTAGAAACCACCCAGGCCGGTACTACTGTCTTGTGATAGTAGGTTGGTAGACAGCTACCACCCAGGGTGGTACTACCATCCTGTGGTAGTAAGTTGGTAGACAGCAAACACAAAGGGAGGTACTACTGCCCTGTGGTAGTATGTTGGTTGACAACATCCTCCCATGGAGGTACTATTGTCATGTAGTAGTAGTTGGTTGGTAGACAACCACCCAGGAAGGTTCTACCATCCTATGGTAGTAGGTTGGTAGACAACAACCACCCTGGAAGGTACTACAGTCCTGCCTTGGTTGGTAGACAACAACCACCCTGGGAGGCACTACTCTCCTGTGGTAATAGGTTGGTAGACAACCACCCAGAGAGATACTACCGTCCTGTGGAAGTAGGTTGGTAGACAACAACCACCCAGGGAGGTACCACAGTCCTGTGGTAGTAGGTTGGTAGACAACAACCACCCATTGAGGTACTACCGTCTTGTAGTAGTAGTTTGGTAGACAACAACCATCCAGGAAGGTTCTACCATCCTATGGAAGTAGGATGGTAGACAACAACCACCCAGGAAGGTACTACAGTCCTGCCTTAGTTGGTTGGTAAACAACAACCACCCTGTGAGGTACTACTCTCCTGTGGTAGTAGGTTGGAAGATAACCACCCAGATAGGTACTACCGACCTGTTGCAGTTGATTGGTAGATAATAAAACCTAGAGAGGTGCTACCGTTCTGTGGTGGTAGGTTAGTAGACAACAACCACCCAGGAAGGTACTACTGTCCTGTGGTAGTAGGTTGGTATGCTACAACCACCCAGTGGGGAACTACCGTCCTGTGGTATTGAGTTGGTAGACGACATCCACCCATAGAGGTACTACCGACCTGTTGTAGTTGATTGGTAGATAATAAAAGCCCAGGGAGGTGCTACCGTGTTGTAGTATTAGGTTGGCAGACAACAACCACTCAAGGAGGTACTACCGTCCTGTAGTAGTAGGTTGGTAGACAACAACCACCCGGGGAGGTACTACCGTCCTGTGGTAGTAGGTTGGTAGATAACAACCACGCAGGGAGGTACTACCGTCCTGTTGTCGTAGGTTGGTAGACAATAACCGCCTAGGGATGTACTATCGTCCTGTGGCTGTAGCTTGGTAGACAACAACCACCCAGGGAGGTACTACCTTCCTATGGTAGTAGGATTGTAGACGACATCCACCCAGGAAAGTTCTACCTAGCTGTGGTGGTAGGTTGGTAGACAGCAACCACCCAGGGAGGTAGTACAGTCTTGTGGATGTATGTTGGTAGATAACAACCAGCCAGAGAGGTACTGCCTTCCTGTGATAGTAGGTTGGTAGACAACCGAGCAGGAAGGTACTACCGTCGTGCGGTATTAGGTTGGTAGACAGCAACCAACTAGGGAGGTACTGCCGTCCTGTTGTAGTAGGCTGGTAGACAACAACCACCCAGGGAGGTACTACCGTCCTGTGAAAGTATGTTGGTTGACAGCAGTCACCCAGGTAGGTACTACCGTCCTTCCATATGAGCGGGAAATGTAAGCCTGTAAGTGTTTTACATGCTGGTAGGATTGCTGGTAATTTTTTTCCGTCTGATGAACAAGCAAGATATTAGGAAAAGTTATGTTACTTGTACTTACACTTATGTCACACTATTCTTGCATGTACAAGCATATATATACACGCCCCTCTTAGCTTTCTTCTATTTCCTTATTAGTTCCTGTTCTTGTTTATTTCCCCTTGTATCCATGGGGAAGTGGAACAGAATTCTTCCTCCGCGAGCCATGCGTGTTGTAAGAGGCGACTACAATGCCGGGAGCATGAGGCTAGTAACCTCTTCTCCTGTATATATTACTAAATTTAAAAGGAGAAACTTTCGTTTTGCCTTTTAGGCCGCCCCGCCTGGTGGGATGCTCCAGGTGCGCTGAAAGATCGGTCTTCACTTGCCGAGTGGGAAATTGAGAGAGTTTCTCGCATTGTCTAGTTAGCCAGCGATATCTCTCTGGGATCACCTAGCTACAGAGCCTGTTGTAACCGTCTGGGATCATTTAGCTTCGGAGCCTGTGGTAGCCATCTGGGATCACTTAGCTACGGCCTGTTGTAGCCATCTGGAATCATTTAGCTGCAGAGCTTGTGGTAGCTATCTGGGATCACTTAGCTCTGAAGCCTTTGGTAGCCATCTGGGATTACTTGGCTATGGGGCCTGTGTTAGTCATCTGGGATCACTTAGCTAAGCTACGAATCCTGTGGTAGCCATCAGGAATCACTTAGTTACGGATCCTGTGGTAGTCATGTGGGATGATTTAGCTAAGGACAAGGTCCATATTGAAGTGCATGAGGACGGAGGATCCTCTTGTCATATCACGCCAATGATGATTCTCTTCAAATCACTTGTCCTGTTTCTAGGCTGTGGTATTATAAACCCTACAAACCCTGAGAATATACAGAGAATGTATAAGAACAATAAAACACCGCAGTTGCAGTTACCTACAAATGTTTAAGTCCTTTGATCTGTACTCCTTGTAACGCAGGCAAGACAGATACGTCATAATATACACCTGGAAAATCCTAGAAGGAATAGTCCCAAATCTGCATAATGAAATAACCTCCTACTAAAGCAAAAGACTCGCAGGCAACGCAACATTCCTCCAATGAAAAGCAAGGGTGCCATCAGAGATAAGACAATAACTGTCAGGGGCCCAAGACTGTTCAACTGCCTCCCAGCATATATAAGGGGGATTACTAACAGAGGGGGCTGGACAGATAATTAAAGTCTGTACCAGGCCAGCTGGGCTGCTTTCTACGTTGGATTACGTGCCGCCAGCAGCAACAGCTTGGTTGATCGTGAGGCCTGGTTATGGACCTGGCTGCGGGGACATTGACCCCTGAAACACCCTCTAGGTAGTTCCTGTAGCTTCCACAGCTACAAATGTGCTCGTGAAGTACAGTGTAGGCATTGTACTTCCCATTTCCAGGACTCAAGTCCGGTTACGTAAAATAACCGGTTTCCCTGAATCCCTTCACTAAATATTACCCTGCTCACACTCCAACAGCTCGTCAAGTCCCAAATACCATTTGTCTCCATTCACTCCTATCTAACACGCTCACGCTATATATATATATATATATATATATATATATATATATATATATATATATATATATATATATATATATATATATATATATATATATATATATATGTCGTGCCGAATATGTAAAACTGGTCAATTAGCAAGAACTCATTTAAAATTAATTCCTTTCTGAAATTTTCTCTTATACGTTTAAAGATATATTTTTTCATTAATGTTAATGTAAAAATTTATAATTTTGCATCAAAAGAATCTTAGAAAACTTACCTAACCTTATTATAACAAGCGCAATTTATTTTAGTCTAACCCAACTAAATATATTTTAGATTTGTTTACAATAATTTAATACTAATCAAACACAGTGAAATATATTTTTTTTCGTTAGGTTCAGAATGATTTTGGCGAAATTATTGCATACACAAATTTTCACTTGTCCTATATGGCAAGATGAGCGTTGCTATTTAAGCCAAGATCGCAAGTTCTGCCTATTCGGCACGACATATATATATATATATATATATATAGGCAGAACTTGCGATCTTGGCTTAAATAGCAACGCTCATCTTGCCATATAGGACAAGTGAAAATTTGTGTATGCAATAATTTCGCCAAAATCATTCTGAACCTAACGAAAAAAATATATTTCACTGTGTTTGATTAGTATTAAATTATTGTAAACAAATCTAAAATATATTTAGTTGGGGTAGGCTAAAATAAATTGTTCTTGTTATAATAAGGTTAGGTAAGTTTTCTAAGATTCTTTTGGAGCAAAATTAAAAATTTTTACATTAACATTAATGAAAAAAATATATCTTTAAACGTGTAAGAGAAAATTTTAGAAAGGACTTAATTTTAAATGAGTTCTTGCTAATTGATCAGTTTTACATATTCGGCACGACATATACATAGTTTATTATTGTGATATATAATGAAATGCGGTACGATAAAATGGAGGGCTGAAAACTACCATGCACTGGCTGGCAGCTTGCAAGTTGCAAGGTCAGCAATGTTGTCAGTGCGTCTCATCATCTCGTTGCTAATACTTCACTGCCAACACTGCTAACTTCAGCATATTAACTCTTGAAGTGTTAAGCACAACGTTTGATAAAAAGCTAATATATTTTTTCGTGGATACTTGAGTGACTACAGAATGATAATATTGGGTAGATAGTGTGAGGAGAGGCAGATCGTCCACATCATTCTCAAGGAACAATGAATAACAGTGTTGAGTGTTGGCTGCGCCCAGATCATCTTCAAGTAAACATAGCGAGAAGAGTGACGCGTTGTGTGTCATATCTTCTTATCTAATAAGTCAAAAATCATATTTGACGTAAAGTTCACTGAAAAAATCACTGGGATGGTCAACAAGGTAAGATAATGTTTCTAGTTACGTAGATGCTATTCATGTGAACTGTTTACTTACACAGTTGTTGCTTCGTGAGTGCAGTGAACTAGTGATGTTCAATGTTATTGGTAGTTATACTGGAGAGGCTGATGAACTGACACAGCCTGTGGTGAGGCTGGCAACCTTGACTCAGCACTCACATTACTGAGAAAGTCCTTCATTAACACCGTACACACATATACATACACATACAAACACACACAAACATACAATTATATAAACAAGCACACCTCCATTATACACACATACAAACACACACACAAACACACATACAACACGCCCCACACTCACACAAACACACACACACACAACACAAACTCAATACAAACACACATCACACAACACATAACACAGACACACATGCACACACCCACATGACCGATTAGCGTTCGGCCGTGCATCACTGGTAGCTCGGGGTCACAATCTTTACTCTGGAGAGCTGACTATCATACATAGACTTAGCCGACACACACACACTAGTGAGTGCGCCGGCAGGCGCTAAGGTCAGACAAAACTGACAGTAAACATACAGTAACATAACTGCCAAATAATGGTAAGGACAGGATAAACAGGTTTCTAGAACTGACAGGAAAATTTAGGCACATAACGACAGTGTGTACATACGAAGTGGCTCGTCAACACACACACACACATACACAGAGTGTGTGTGTGTGTGTGTGTGTGTGTGTGTGTGTGTGTGTGTGTGTGTGTGTGTGTGTGTGTGTGACTCGACCCCTGCAACCACAGCTAGGTGAGTACGCACAATACAACACTGTCATATCAATAAGGAATCGTTTAGGACCCTGTACACCGTGTATGTCAGGTCTATATTGGAGCATGCAGCACCAGTTTAGAACCCACACCTAGCCAAGCACTAAAGAAATTAGAGAAAGTACAAAGGTTTGCAACAAGACTAGTCCCGGAGCTAAGGGGCATGTCCTGCGAGGAGAGGCTAGGGGAAATCCACCTGACGACACTGGAGGACAGGAGATATAAGGGGGATATGATAACATGTAAAATACTGAGAGGAATTGACAAGGTGGACAGAGACAGGATGTTCCAGAGAAGAGACACAGGAACAAGGGGTCACAGATGGAAGTTGAAGACTCAAGTGAATCACAGGGATGTTAGGAAGTATTTTTTCAGTCACAGAATTGTCAGAAAGTGGAATAGTCTGGGAAGTGATGTAGCGGAGGCAGAATCCATACATAGCTTTAAGAAGAGAAATGATAAAGCTCATGGAGCAGGAAGAGTGACCTAGTGGCTACCAGTGAAGTGGCGGGGCCAGGAGCTGTGACTCGAGCCCTGCAACCACAACTAAGTGAGTACAACTAGTTGAGTACACACATAAATACTAACACTCTCCCACTCTCTTACTTTCTCAATCTCTCACTTCTTTACTGTCTCTCACACTCTCCCACGCTCACACTCTTACTGTCTCACTCTTGTTACGCCTAAGATAGATATTATCTTCATATGGGATTCCTGAATAACAATTTACACAGAGTTTGGGATAATAACAAACTTCAACTATAATCTTAGTTTAATAAAGTAATTTCATAGATATGATAAAATGTCAGCATGGGACAAATATATTTAATGTTTATACAGATAAGACGTATATACAACAGGTAAACTTTTACAATAACTTCCCTTATGATGTCTTAAAGTCTAGTTTCTAAGAGAGACATTATATCAAAATAATTACTCACATAAACACAATCTTCTATGTAATTAGCTAGCTTTATAATTAGAGGAATCAGAGTACAAGTATTGCTGAGAATATACTGTGGAGGTAGAAGACCAGTTAACAACTTTGTAATAAGACCAGAGAAGGAGTGTTGACCGGTCGGCAGGTGAAACCACACTGGTCCAAGCTGACCACCTAGCTTGACTCTGACCCGGCAAACACTTGACCAAATAGGGAAAGGGTGGGGGGGGGGGGGGTTTGAGAGGGTGTTAACAACAACAGAAAAGTAGGTTTAGCCATACCCATGGAGGATTGGATCATTTGATAATAATCTACCTCCTTTACATAAAACAGACACATGGTAAAGTTACGTATATCCAGCCAGATATAAATACATAGTGGACACTTACAGAAATAATTGTACAGACAAGTAGTAATAGTACAAGGTGGCTCATTTCCAATTTTGCTAAAGAAGGAAATGAACGCAATGTTATGTTATAAGAATTAAGTTTGACAAGAGGGGTATAGAGGGCGCACCACTCTACCACTCTCTCTCTTACTGTCTCACTCTCTCACTCCCACTCTCTCTCTCTTACTGATTCTCTCACTCACACTCTCTTACTGTCTCACTCTCTCACTCCCACTCTCTTACGTCTCACTCTCTCACTCCCACTCTCTTACTGTCTCACTCTCTCACTCCCACTCTCTTACTGTCTCACTCTCTCACTCCCACTCTCTTACTTTCTCACTCTCTCACTCCCACTCTCTTACTGTCTCACTCTCTCACTCCCACTCTCTCTTACTGATTCTCTCACTCACACTCTCTTACTGTCTCACTCTCTCACTCCCACTCTCTCTCTCTTACTGATTCTCTCACTCACACTCTCTTACTGTCTCACTCTCTCATCCACTCTCTTACTGTCTCACTCCCACTCTCTTACTGTCTCCCTCTCTCACTCCACACTCTCTTACTGTCTCACTCTCTCCCACACTCTCTCTTACTGTCTCACTCTCTCACTCCCACTCTCTTACTGTCTCTCTCACTCTTCCACTCTCACTCTCCCACTCTCTCTTACTGTCTCACTCTCTCACTCGCCCACTCTCTCTTATTGTCTCACTCTCACTCTCCCACTCTCTCACTCTCATATTCTTACTGTCTCACTCTCCCACTCTCTTACTGTCTCACTCTCTCACTCTCATATTCTTACTGTCTCACTCTCCCACCTCTCTTACTGTCTCACTCTCCCACTCTCCCTTACTGTCTCACCCTCTCACTCTTCTACTCTCTTACTATCTCACTGTCTCACTCTCTCACTCTCCACTCTCTCACTCTCACGGTTTCTCTTACTATCTCTCTCTCCCACTCTCTCACACTTTCTGTCTCATTGTCACACTCTCCCACTCTCTCCCTCCTCACGCTCTCCTCTCTCCTCCTGCTCCCCTCCTCCCCTTACTACTCCCTCTCCCTCCCTCCCCCTTTTTCCTTTCCCTCTCTTCCTTTCCCCTCTCTCTCGATCCTTTCTCTTCCTTTCCCTCTCTCTTTTCTCCCTCCCTTCCCCTTTTCTCTCCCTCTCCCTCTACCCCCCTTCCCACTCTCTCCACCTCCACATCACTCTCTCTGTCCCCTTTCCTCCCTCTCACCTTTCCAACTCCCCCAGCAAATAATTATCACTTATGCAGATGCAGGTATATATTATATACTGTTATTTCTTCTATCTCTAAACAGAGAGACGTAAATGGTGAAGTTTATCGTAGTAATCACTCAAATAAAAGTTGAGTGAATATACAGTCTCTCAAGCTATTGGAGAATTCTCAACAACCTGGAGTTTACCTAGAGAGAGTTCCGGGGGTCAACGCCCCCGCGGCCCGGTCTGTGACCAGGCCTCCTGGTGGATCAGAGCCTGATCAACCAGGCAAGAGGAGAGTATAATGACAACTAGATGTGGTCTAGTCAGAGGGTAAAACCCAACTGCTGCAACCAAACAAACCATGGTTGGAGTCAACTGGGGTCACGTGACACACACGGGAAAGTGGGGAAGGATAAGAGAAGTATTTAAGCAATACACCAAAAAGGGAAGATGAACCATTAAACCCTTACCAATCATAATTTATACAAACACCGCTAAAATATTATACATATACATATATATACAATACAATTTACAAGACCAATTGGAGGACAAAAATGATGATGATGATAATAGATAATAATACAAGGTCTGACATTTCCATTTTAGCTATTAATGTAGATAAGTGCGAAGTAATATTGAAGAAGATAACAGTGATTAAGATACTTAAATCATAGGAGCATTTATATCGTAGCATTTTGTTTACTTATTATTACATTGTAAACTTATTTTTTTAACACAGCCGTTTCTCACCACGGTAGGGTGACCCAAAAATGAAAAACTTTCATCAGTCTATCACAGTCTTGCCAGAGGCGTACTTACACTACAGTTATAACACAGCAACATTAACACCCGTCCTTCAGAGTGCAGACACTGTACTTCCCATCTCCAGGACTCAAGTCCAGCCTGCCAGTTTCCCTGAATCCCTTCATAAATGTTACGTTGCTCACACTCCTATAGCATGTCACATCCTAAAAATCATTTGTCTCCGTTTGCTCCTTTCTAACACGTTCACACATACTTGCTGGAAGTCCAAGCCCCTCACACAAAAAATCTCCTTTACCCCCTTCCTCTAACCTTTCCTAGGCCGACCCCTACCCTGGCCTCCCTCCACTACAGATTTATACACTCTCGAAGTCGCTGTATGATGTTCCATCTTCTCAACATGTCCAAACCACCTCAACAACACCTCTTCAATACCTCCTTTTAATTTCCAAACTACGAATTCTCTGCATTATATTCACACCACACATTGCCCTCAAACATGGCATCTCCACTGCCTCCAGCCTTCTTGTTGCAACATTCACCACCAATGCTTCACACACATGTAAGAGAGTTACTATAACTAAACTCTCATACATTCCCTTCTTTGCTTCAATGGACAAAGTTCTTTGTCTCCACAGACTCCTCAGTGCACCACTCACTTTTTCCCCTCGTCAATTCCACGAATCACCTCATCTTTCATAGACCCATCTGCTGACACGTCCACTGCTAAATATCTGAATATCCCTCCAATCTGATATCAATCCCCCTCCAATCTGATATCCAATCTTTTGTCACCTAATCGTTTTATCCTCATCGCCTAACTCTTTTATGTATTCACTTTTAATTTCCTTCTTTTACATACCCTACCAAACTCATCCACCAACTTCTGTAACTTCTCTTTAGAATCTCCCTAAAGCACAGTGTCATCAGCAAAGAGCAACTGTGATAACTCCCACTTTTGTTAGATTCTTTATCTTTTAACCCCAGACCTCTTGCCAGCAACCGAACATTCACTTCTCTTACAGGCTCATCAATAAATATATTGAACAACCACGGTGACATCACACATCCTTGTCTAAGGCCTACTTTTACTAGGAAATAATCTCCCTCTCCCCTATATATTCTAACCTGAGCCTCACTATTCTCGTAAAAACTCTTCACTGCTTTGAGTAACCTACCTCCTACACCATACACCTGCAACATCTGGCACATTGCCCCCTATCCACCCTGTCATACTCCTTTTCCAAATCCGAAAATGCCACAAAAACCTCTTTACCCTTATCTAAATACTGTTTACCTATATGTTTCATTGTAAACACTTGGTCTATTATACACCCCCTACCCTTCCTAAAGTCTCCTTCTTCCACTATTATCCTACACTCTCTTTTACTCGTAATTCTTTCAATAATAATTCTACAATACACTTTACCAAGTATTCTCAACAGACTTATTTCCCTAAAATTTTTACACTCTCTTTTGTCCCCTCTGCCTTTATATAAAGGAAGTATGCAAGCTCTCTGCCAATCCCTAGATACTTTACCCTCCTCCATACATTTATTAAATAAAAGCATCAATGACTCCAAAACTAAATCACCACCTGCTTTTAATATTTCTATCTTCATCCCATCAATCCCAGCTGCTTTACCCCCTTTCATTCTACTCACTGCCCCAAGCACTTTCCCACGCACTCACAACTGGTTCTTCCTCACTCCTACAAGATGTTATTCCTCCTTGCCCTATACACGAAATCACATCTTCCATATCTTCATCAATATTTAACAATTCCTCAAAATATTCCCACCATCCTCCTGATACTTCTAACTCTCCATTTAATAACTCTTCTCTCCTAATTTTTAACTAACAAATCCATTCGTTCCCTAGGGTTCCTCAACTTATTAATCTCGCTCCAAAACTTTTTCTTATTTCCAAAAACATTTTTTGATAACATCTCACCCACTCTCTCATTTGCTCTCGTTTTACATTGCTTCACCACTCTCTTAACCTCTCTTTGTAAACTTATCTAGAATATATTTATATGGATTAGGGTAAATTCAATTGCATTTGTTATAATAAGGTTAGTTAAGTTTTCTAAGGTACTTTCAGCATAAAATTATTAATTCTAACATTAACATAAATGAAAAAATATATCTTTAAATATATAAGAGAAAATTTTAGAAAGGACTTAATTTCAAATGAGTTCTTGTTAATTGACCAGTTTTACCTATCTGGCACGAATTATAGTATATATATATTTATATATATGCAAGATAAGCCACGGGGAGTTGAAATCTTTAGCTCAAGAACTTTCACACGTCCCAGAATTTGGTTTTTCTACATAAGACACTAAAAAAGATCAATATAAACCTTGCTTTCAAAAACACATGGACTGTGAAATGAAGACCGATTAAAAACACACCTGTGGAAAATACTGTATATATTTTCTGGAAATACAGTAGTTTATATGTAAATTGATGGCCTATATTGTATTTAATAAAAATTATGTTATAAAAAATGGGAAGTTGTGCGCCTGCGCGGACGAGGGGACTCACTATCTTTTTGAACTGGGCAAGAAAACGTTAGTGAAAAGAGGAAGAATTTTCATCGCTCTAGAGCAGTGGTTCCCAAACTGGGGGTAAATTACCCCCTGGGGGTAATTTAACCATTTTTGGGGGGTAATGGAGGGGTGACAGAAAAAAAGTTATGAATTCTGAAAATCAAGAAAACAATGTGGTACCCGGTATGAGGATTATTGTTAACTTTGTCTTAGTATATAAAGTTGTAAAGTAAACCTATTATAAGTAAGTAATAAAGTTAAACCAAATAACAATAAACATCAAAAACTAATATACAGTATTAGAAAAGAAAAAATATATAGCTAAGTGTGTGGAAACCCAAAAGTATTTTGACAAGTATGCTTCAGGACAAAAGTCACTCAGTAGCCCAGATCGACCTGTCCAGTACGCGTCACTCACTTCCTGAGGCTGCCTCTATTTCACACTGTCAGTTTATCTGTGAGCATCAGCCGAGGTAGACATAAGCTGGTATGTATGTGTACTGCCCTGTGCAGTATATAGTTAGTATTTACCCACTGTTACTGTGAATTTGTAGCTATTATTAATTTTATATATAATGTATGTGTGGTTCTTACGTTTTCAATGGTTTTGCTAGGATTAGCAGAGTATGCGAGGCTGTATACGTTCACGTTTAGCCATATATATCAATAATAACAACATTTTGTGAAAGGGGTAACATGCTTTATGTGGCATGTTAAATTGGGTAACAAGCTGAAAAAGTTTGGGAACCACTGCTCTAGAGGTTATATTGGGCTGACACTTCTCAAATAGGAGCCGAAATTGTTGGATGTGCACTTCTGCATAACTTGAGCATTAAGCAAATGGAAAGGACAACTCCAGGAACCTCAGATAAGTCTGTTTATGTTGTAGCTCTGGCTAGTGTTATTTTCATAAATGTAGACAGTGAGGTTTTTGAGTATGATACACAGTAATCTCCAGTCAAATTGGTGAGGGTTATGATTATAAATTCTCCTTCTGTTATATAAATGTGCATATGTAATCATTTATTAATTTTAATATACAGTCCACAAATTTATATATTTACCAGAATTCCTGGTGATGCACATTTCATTTGTAGTTAATATAGGTCTAGAGCAACTTGTGGATATGACAATTGTAGGTATCGAAGGGGGACATTTTTTGGGACCTAGGTGTCCCAAATTCCTACTTGCCTATGTAACTTTGATAAATAATAATTATCATTGTTACTATTTACTGGTATGTACCTTATGTTATATCCAGATAAATGTAATCTTCCACAACACCCTCCAATAAAGTTGGTGACGTTTACAAGGTCCCACGTACTAAATGTCCTCTCATATACTGGTCAAACAGGGAAATTCCTGGAAACCAGAATAGGCCAACATAAGTAATCAGTCAGGACGGCAGAAGTCTAATGCTATCTTTAACCACGTTAGTTCATGTAATCACCCACCGGAATGGGATGCTGCCTAGATTATAGTACCAAATAGTTCTGTCATGGACAGAAACATAATTGAATCTTCACTCTTGAAGCGTGAAAGGAATACAGTACATAAGTCAAATTGCGGGGTATACGAGCTCGATAGCTATTTAGTAGAGTCCATTGTACACAATCTTAAACAACATTGTTGTACAAAATCACAGGATTGCTCATTATGCCAAGTGGGTTGATGGATTGGTGACGTCCGACGAGTGTCTACGCACCAAAACTTCATACCACGTCAGTTGTTATGGTTATATAACGCATTTAGCTGTTAGTGACAAGCACATAAGATTATGAGATAACATGAGGAGAGGTTAAAAGGTATTACTAGATATTTATATCATAGATATATTATCGAAAAGGCATATAAGATTCCCAAGTCAGGCATATTAACCGACACTGAGAAGAATAGTAGACAATATTTAGGAAGAGAAACTTCTCAGCACTTCAATAGAACATTCAAGTACCTCAGGACATTTTATTCTTTAAAAAGGTTACACAGAATAATAGCAATCCATGTGTATAGTATCCAATGAGAAACGTATTTGCTCGAACCACATGACCTGTTATAAACTACTAGAACAAGCTTGGGGCTAGTTATTATACCTTATAATGTCATACTTGACATCTCAGAAACCCTCCTACCTCATATGGGGAGTGTAGGGGGATGGTGGTAGGGTGGGGTTGGCACCAACCATTCTTAGAGTAACAGTGGCTGGTGACACATCCGCGCTACGCTACCCTGAGAATTCTCTCCCTGTTTTAGTTGCTCTCTTACAACATTGCATAGCTCCTGATGATGCACTGGGACGTGTGAAAGTACTTGAGCTAAAGATTTCCACCCCCGTGGCTTGTCTTGCATAGTTAAGATCGCACGCTATATGAAAATACATACATATACATACATACATATACATATATATATATATATATATATATATATATATATATATATATATATATATATATATATATATACATATATATACATATATATACATATATATATATATATATATATATATATATATATATATATATATATATATTATATATATATATATATATATATATATATATATATATATAATATTTATTTCTAACATGCGTATATTAAGCTGTCACTTATAATAATATAAACATTTCATATTGTCATTTTAATATGTGTATTTCAGTAAAGTTATTTTTTCAGCTGTAATGATATCCCCTGAGATGTATAGGAAGCTCCCTCAGCATTATCTACACAAGCATCAATAACACTGTCAGCATCACCATCTGCTCCCTCAGCATTATCTACACAAGCATCAATAACACTGTCAGCATCACCATCTGCTCCCTCAGCATTATCTACACAAGCATCAATAACACTGTCAGCATCACCATCTGCTCCCTCAGCATTATCTACACAAGCATCAATAACACTGTCAGCATCACCATCTGCATAAATACCAAGTTTCAGCAGCAGTATTATTTGCAGAAATGTCAGCAGTTTAGTAAGCAGACTTGTCCGTAAAAGGTATTTGGAGCTCTGTTAGTAGCATTTTCTGCAAAATAAATAGTAATGCCACCAGCAGCATTTTCTACAGAAGTAGCTTAGACAGCAACGTTATCTGTTGTAGTGTCAGGAGACCTGTCAGCAGTATTATCTCCAGAAGTATCAGAAGACCTTTTAGTGGTATTTTCTTCAGAAAACTCGGAAACTCCGTCAACAAAATTACTTGCACATTATCAGTAAGACAGTCCGCCGCTTTAGTGGCATCAGCATTATTTCCAAAAGTCTCAGAAGCTCGGTCAGCAGTGTTATTTACATAAGATAAAGAAGCTAAATCAAAAACATTATTTGCATAAGTACCAGAGTGTTCGTAAGCAGCAAAATTAGAAGGAGCAACTGGTGCTCAACCAGCAGTATCATCTACCGAGGCAGGAAGACATCAGCCAGCAACATTTGTTGCAGAGGCAGGAACAGCTCTGCCAGCAACATTTGTTGCAGAGGCAGGAACAGCTCAGCCAGCAACATTTGTTGCAGAGACAGAAAAAGCTCTGCCAGCAACATTTGTTGCAGAGGCAGGAAGAGCTGAGCCAGCAGCATTAGTTGCAAGAGTAGCTCTGTCAGCATTATTAAATCTTATGAATTTTCTCCTCATGTACTATGGCTTCAATAACTAAGGAGGAAAATAATGGCTTCAGAGTTATTAAGTCTTTGAATTTGTGTGGTAGGCGCGTGCTGCATACCACGTTCTCCTGGGGAACCCCAGATAAACCTTCTTGTATAAAGTTGGATGATTACTTAAATAACTTGCATCATACATCTTCAGCAAACTACTTAAAAGTCCCAAGAAGTCAAAAAAGGTTTAATAAAACGCAAAAGAAATTGATTAATATGAGTCCAGATGGAACAGAGTTTGACATCCCACTGCTCTATCTGAGTATCAAACTAGCGTGTGAAAATGTTGCTGCTTTCAGTGATCCAAAATGGATCGATGAGAGTACAGAAATGGAGTACTATATTACTGCTATAAACAACGTGCGGAACGTTGCTGTTCACACCCAACTTGCAGTTCCTGATGATGATTATCTTGAAATTATAAGAAAGCTTCGGGAACTGTTAACTGGGTGTCTTAAGGCATCCGGAGAGCGCTATGGGCAAAATATGGCTGAAGTGGACAAGGAGATCAAGCAAATGAATGATAACTTGGATTATATCATGAATGAGATACTCGGAGAAGAAGATATAATAAGGTTTTGTAGCGATGATATAAAACAGATCATCATTAACGACAGTTGTGAAAAACTGAATGAGATCTTCCAAAAGATCGTTTATATCGACCCATTGTCTTTTATCAACAAAAACTTAAAAATTAGAGTGGACAAAATTTTTGTCAATATCGACATTGTAAAAGGACATCCTGTAGAAGATGGTTCGCATGTTGACTTTTGTGAACTTTTCAAACTTGTCCAGACTACATCTGTGCCATCATCTGTAAGTTGTGTCACTGAGCGACCTCAAATACTCCTATTAGAAGGATTGGCAGGGAGTGGCAAGACCACGCTAGTGACCCTGGTAATACAGGAATGGATACAGGGAGGTCAAAGCCAAATAAAAGGCTTAGATAATTATGATCTGCTGCTATGGGTACAGTGCAGAGACACTACCATGAACTCCTTCCAGGATCTCCTAGACCGCCTGATATCAGATGTTTCAGCAAAATTCAGGAAAGTTTTACCTAGAATAATAAAGCTTTGTAAAGTCCTAATAATAGTTGATGGTTTGGATGAGCTTAATAACAACTCCAGATCATTACTCCAAAGTCTTTTATTCGAATTTCAGAATTCTTCTTACACAACTTTCATGTGCACCTCAAGACCTGAAAAAATCGAAATGTTTAGGATGTCGACGTTGGTTTTTGAGTCGACTTGGTTTTTGATGTCGATTTTGGATTTTGATGTTACCGTTGGTTTTGATGTTGATGTTGATTTTGATGTTGACGTTGGTTTTGATGTTGACGTTGGTTTTGATGTTGACGTTGGTTTTGATGTTGAGGGTTGGTTTTGATTTGACGTTGGTTTTGATGTTGACGTTGGTTTTGATGTTGATGTTGGTTTTGATGTTGACATTGGTTTTGATGTTGACGTTGGTTTTGATGTTGACGTTGGTTTGATGATGACGTTGGGGTTGATGTTAAATGTTGGTTTTGATGTTGACGTTGGTTTTGGTGTTGACATTGGTTTTGATGTTGACGTTGGTTTTGATGTTGACGTTGGTTTTGATGTTGACGTTGGTTTTGATGTTGACGTTGGTTTTGATGTTGACGTTGGTTTTGATGTTGACTTTGGTTTGATGTTGACGTTGGTTTTGATGTTGACTTTGGGTTTTGTGATGACGTTGGTTTTTGATGTTGACATTGGTTTTGATGTTGACGTTGGTTTCGATGTTGATGTTGGTTTTGATGTTGACGTTGGTTTTGATGTTGACATTGGTTTTGATGTTGACATTGGTTTTAAATGTTGACGTTGTTTTTTGATGTTAAACGTTGGTTTTGATGATGACGTTGATTTCGATGTTGATGTTGGTTTTGGTGTTGACGTTGATTTTGGTGTTGACGTTGGTTTTGATGATGACGTTGATTTCGATGTTGATGTTGGTTTTGATGATGACGTTGATTTCGATGTTGTTTTTGGGTTTTGGGTGGTTTACGTTTGGTTTTGGAGTTGACGTTGGTTTTGGTGTTGACTTTGGGTTTTGGTGTTTTGAGGGTTGGTTTTGGGTGTTGCGTTTTGTTCCTTAAATTATTTATTGCTTCTTGCACTTTTTAAAAATTTTATTTATTAAGTGTTTTTTATTGTTTGTAAAATTCTGCATTTCGTTATTAGCTTATACATTGTTCCTTTGCACTTTTTACAAAGTTATACATATATTTTTTTAATAATACTCCACTATGGTAATTTGTTATATCCAATTCATTCATATTTTTACAAAGTTTTACAACACCTTGTGACTGGGTGTAATACTTGTGACTGGGTGTAATACTTGTGACTGGGTGTAATACTTGTGACTGGGTGTAATACTTGTGACTGGGTGTAATACTTTTGACTGGTGTAATATTTTGTAAATGGGTGTAATACTTGTGACGGGTTTTAATACTTGTGGACTGGTGTAAAATCTTGTGACTGGGAGTAATCTTGCGACGGGTGTAATACTTGTGACTGGGTGTATATTGTGACGGGGTGTAATACTTGTGATGGGTGTAATACTTGTGACTGGGTGTAATACTTGTGACTGGGTGTAATACTTGTGACTGGGAGTAATACTTGTGACTGGGTGTAATACTTGTGACTGGGTGTAATACTTGTGACTGGGAGTAATACTTGTGACTGGGAGTAATACTTGTGACTGGGAGTAATACTTGTGACTGGGAGTAATACTTGTGACTGGGAGTAATACTTGTGAGGGGAGTAATTCTTGTGAATGGTGTAATACTTGTGACTGGATATATACTTGTGACTGGGAGTAATACTTGTGACTGGGAGTAATACTTGTGACTGGGTGTAATACTTGTGACTGGGTGTAATACCTGTGACTGGGTGTCTCAGTAGTAGTAACCAGTTACCAGTAACCAGTTACCAGTAACCTGTCCGTTGACTCAACGACCAACCGTCTTGAGTCACGGTCTGTGCTGAGCTGACACTATTTTCAAAAGACCCACTACGGGGTACTGGCCAGCCGGCTAGTTAGTTTTACGAGTGTAACCAAGGAGATAGGTAACGGCTGCGGGTTCTCTCCACATATCTACGATTATACGTAATAACAGCCTACGTGAGTTTTCTACCCTAATCCACTATCGAACTCCCACATGATAATTGGTGTGCAGCGGTGTGGACGTGGATTTACGTTTTTAAGGGTAATTCAAGGCGTTTGAAGACTGTTGTGAGTAGCCGGCAGGGTCAAAGGTGAATGCCCTCCCCTCACACCCTCCAGCCAGCAGCTTATACCCTCACTCATTACCTACTGCCTGCAAGCCTGTTGCAGCCGTTTCAAGTTCCTGGCTTAGTTCGTGTGCTAATTGCTTAAATTTCCCGAGGGGTTGACCCGGATTTTGCAATTAAGCCAGTTAGTAAGCCAGACTGTGGAAGTGAACGCCAGTCAGCCTATCATCCAGCCTGTCTCCTGTCATCCAACTGCTCCTCGTGCTTTGTGCATCGTTACACTCTTCCAGTCATCCATTCTCGTGGGGTAAGCCAGCCAGCCAACCCAGCTTCTAACCAGCTGAGAGAGAGAAGTAAGCCACGCAGTAAAAAGGGTAACCCAAAGGGCTCCTCTGAAGTATTGTTTATATCGCTTTGTGCTCCTTTTTGTTTGCTAAGAGTGGTTTTTAACCATTCCCTGTGGCTTAGATTTGGTTTTTTCAAGCCACCTTCGTGGGGGTGGGGTGCGCGGCAGACCCTGCGTCCCCCCCTCAACATTCTCCCCACACCACCCGGGTCGCGGCAGAAGCATCCACCCACCACCACCACCAGCCATCCCTCATCTACCTGTGGTTTGTTTGCACCCTTGTACCGGGTCCTAGTACTGTTTGGCTCACAAATTGGTCAAGAGATTGTAGCTGGTGCCAACGAGATAAACCCAGTTTTGTGAGTTCGCCTAGAAGCACATTCTTCACGACAACGTGAATGTGGGAGGCTCATCACCGCGCAGGCACCATACACCCGCCCCCACCAGTACTCACCGTCCGTCTCCTACTCCCGACTTCAGTGATAATTTCCTTGAGACATTTTTCTTGCATTTAAAGACATTTGCGTGTGTGAGACATTTATAGTAAATTGTTTGTGTACTCTAAACCTTGTGTTTTCAGTTTTTCTTTGACTCGTTAATTTTTACAATATTTTTCAGTGTTTTTATTTATCTTATATTTTTTATTCTGTGTTTTTTCTTATGCTACTCCTGTCTCTAGTAAGTATTATTGTGTCGTGTACCAGTCAGTCACTCTGTGTGAAGTGATTCATTTTTTTTTTTATTGTATTCTTTCAGCATACCAAATTATCCATTTATTTCTATGTGTGTCTTTTTTTTCGTATGCCAGCAGTGTCTCATTCCTCTAATTTTTTTCGCAGACTGTGTACCATTATTTTTGCCAGCAAATTTTTGTCGTATCAGTCACAGCAAGATTTTGTTGTATCAGTCACAGCAGGAATTTGTTGTAAGAATAAATTAATACTGTTGTGTGCTCCGTCACTGTAAGTGTTATATTCCCTGTTTTGTTCCTGTGTTTTATTTTTTATAATTCTTGAACAAATTCACTCTTGATGAAATTTTTCAATTACTTTTAACGTAAAGTGTTTTCTTCTCTGTTTGAGTAAATTGTTTTGTCAAATTTTACAATTAAAAATAAAGTTTCAATCAGTTTATTTTTTGGTTTTCCCATATTAATTCATTATTTTACCTGAGTTTTCCCAGTGACACTTTATTACTGCAGTGATTGTTTTTAAAACTTATTTTGTTGCACTTGTTCTGAAGTGAATTATTTTGTTGAACTTTTTCTGCAGTGAATATTTTCTTTTTTTTGCTATTTTTATGATTTATAATTTAATTTTTGTCTATGCATTCTTAGAAAATATTTAAAATTTCCCAGTTACTTTTAAATTTAATTTTTTTTTACACTTCACATTGATTTAAATAATTTAATTAATTAATTTTTTATTAGCAAGAGAAAAGGGACAGCTCATTTTGAATTTAATTCAGTCTCCAGTAATATTTTTACTTGTATATTTCAAGTAAATTTTTTTTTCGGGTCAATGTCCCTTTAAATTGAGTTTCCTTCCTTGCAGTGTATTTAGACATTATTCTGCAGATTTGTTGTATATCTTTTCATTTCAATTCTAGAATTTTATATCTTTTTTAATTGTTCATTATTTTTGGCTTTATTTGTTCTCGTGTTACTTTTGCCATTATGTCTCACATACCGTCAAGTGATACTTTAGTGAATGTCGAAAACTCGGGACCTCTCAGGCTACTACGGCGGTCCTGTCATCAGTCCTCACGTTCCTTACCGACTGACAGACCGACTCAGACACCGAGATATTATAGTTATACTCGTGATTCCCTTGATGCGTTACCTTTATTAAATGGCCATGTACATAGTCTTGAAGCATGGTTTGCAGCATTCGTTCTCGTGGCTAGTGCCCTAGCTAAGGTCCTCCTTCAGAGGAAAGCCTCATCAGACTTGCTAAAGAAGCTCTTTATCGATCCCCTGCTGCTTTTTCACTTTTGTTGATCCCCTTGATATGCAAAGACTTCGGGAATCTTACTAAGTGGTCACAATATGGGGAACTGATTCGTTCTTTCCTTGTCCAGAAAAAACAGCTGACCATATGTCGTTCTTAGAAAACTAGTAAAATGCTACACCCATGAGTACTGAATCGTTGAGTGCATTTGCTGTTAGATTAGACAAACTTTATCATCATTTATAATGCTGTCCAATCATCATCTTTTCTCCCGACGAGGCTAAACCATTTACAGAATCAATTGCTAAAATAGCAGCTTTGGAGCAATTAAAGAACTAATGCCGCCTGCTTCTGTGTGTGCTATGAGGTGATCCTCCAACTGTAACGATGGAACCACTACACCCTTAAAATATGTAGTTCCTTGTGCCCCCAGGGTACTTTTCCTTGTATTAAAGTAATGTCACACATATCCCTCAGTCTGAAACCACCTCTTGTTTGCGCCACAGAGACAAATCGTAGTCGTCAACCATCTCAGAGATCACCAAGAACCATGTACAGAGTCCGTTATACACCTCGTAGTATTCAAGTACATTCAGTAACCATAGTCGGCGGAATTGTTACAACTGTGGTTTCCGTGGCCATATTGCAATTAATTGTCCTGATAGTTACCCTAAGAGACGTCGTACTGATGATGAGTACTCAGATCTTCCCTACTGTAATTATCATAGAATACATGGACATGACACATCTGAGTGTAATGCTCTCTATAACCTTCAGTACTCTAGATCTTTCCGTGGTCGTTCCAACCGCAGAACCCGTCGAGGAAACAGATCT